TTTTTTAGAACATGTAGAAATATTTTTTCCCAGTTAATAAACTTTATTTTGGCCAAATTCACCATGCTTTTCTTATCATGATGCCCTGTACTCTTCTTTCTATCCAATACCTACAATAAAAGAACTAACACTGTCCTAATTCTTAAATCCTCATAAAACCCTTTGCAGAAAATACTATTATGATCCCCACTTTACAAATAATGACACCAAAGCACAGAGTAATTATGAAACCTGCTCAGTTTCATAAAGCTATTAAGTAAAAAAGAGGTGAGTTCTAAAAGCTAGCTCCAAAGCCCAGAGTTTAACTTTTTTTGTGTGCTTTGGACAAAAAAATTTTGGTAGTCTAACGAAACCTGTGGATTTCTTCTCAGCTTAATATTTTTAAATGCATAAAATAAAATACAAGGATTACAAATGAGACCAATTATGTTGAGAACAAAAACCCCAAATGTGTGACACAGTAATACACATGCTTCTTAACAATGTAGTGGTAGATCTCTACTATAATGCAGAGATGTAATGATATACATAATGTAATGTTTACATTACCTTACATCAATGTTTTGACGTAATGATAAACATTTTGAGATACCTACAACCACAGCATATCATAAAAAATATTTGACTTGTACTAGTAGTAAAATCACAAGTACTGTTGGTAGTACTGTAGTTTGCTCTTTATACTGGCAATTAAAAGAAATGCTAACTTCTAGTCAGAGGTTAGTGAAGAGGTAATTTTTCCCCCTAAGTTTAAAGGTGCCATCCATCTTAAGACCCTATATAATAAAAGCCTCTTAATACTGCAATTTAAAGGGACCACTCCCGGGTCCTGTCTCTTTCTTCACATGTTCCCTTGGTAATGTCGTCCAGTGTTGTGGTTCTAATACTAAGCTGATGACCACAAAATACATCTCCAGTCCAGACCTTTCCCCTGAACTCCAGGAGACTGACCTGGTTATCAATTCAACCTGAATGTCTAAAAGGCATCTCAAACTTAACCATGTCTAAAACTGAACTCCTAATCTATTTCCCAAACTTGCTCTTGTCACAGTCATACCTACTATCATGGTTGATGGCAACTCCATCTTTCTAACTACTCAGACGAAAAACCTTGGAATCATCCTTGGTTCCTCTCTCACATGCCACATCTGATCTATCAATGAATCATATTGGTTTATTCTTCAATGTATATCCAGAATCCAATCATTTCTCACCATCTCCTGGTTACCACCTTTACAAGTCATCAGCAGCTCTCTTCCAGATTGCTAACTTCATTACAAGTCTCCCTGCTGCTTCTGTTCTCCCCTGCAAAGGGGGTGATCCTTCTGAAGCTGAAAGCAGACCATGTAACTCCTCTGTTGAAAACTCTGGGCAAAGTCCTTATAATGACTCTACAAAGCACTATGAAATCTGCATCCCACCCTGACCCAAGTTACTATTTATTGCTCTTTTTTGTTTATTCTGTTTTAGCCATACCAGGCAGAATTCACTACTTCTGCTTTGGCACCTTGGAATTATTCCATTTGGAATGCTTTCACCCCAGATATTAACATGGCTCTCCCTCCCTTTTAAGTCTTTGCCTAAACATCATTCTCAAGCAGGTACACCCAGTCTACCTCATTTTAAATTATCACATCTTAAAAAAAAAAAAATCACCTTTCCCAGAAATTCTGGATTCCCCCTTACCCTGCTCCATTTTTCAAAGCACTTACCTTTGAATATTCTGTATTATTCATTACTACCCACCCCTAGGAGGGGTGCCCACAAGGGCAAATTTTGTTTTGTACACCACTCACCTCTAATGCGCCTATGTTTGGCACAAAATAGACATGCACATGTTCAAAGAACAGCACTTCCATGGCTGTTAAGTACTTGCCTCTCTCATTAGAAGAGTTCCTTAAAGACTTTAACTGGATCTAATTTGCAGTGTCCTCAACACCTGGCCCCAACAGCAGACACCTAATGCACAGATACTCAGGCGATTACAGCCATTTTCACCTGAAACACAATCCTATATGCCACGGGAAGAAAAGCCAGGTCTCACAGCTGTAACTGATTAAAGAGTGAGTCCAAGACAAACACAGAACATCAGGTTCCAACAGTTACTTCAATCAAACTGAATTTATGTTTCGTGCCTCAATTTCTTCATGTGTCTAAGAACCATTTCAAACTACCCGAAGTCTAAAAGGGGCACTCGGTCATTCCTTCCCCCGGGGAACGTTACCCCCTCAAGCCCACCTATTCCAAGCTTGACTTAAAATCCTACCTCTTAAGTATTCCCTGATGATCCCAGCTAGAAGCATTTATACACGCCACTCTGTGCCAAGGGCTTTTCATACATTATTCTCATCCAATCCTCCCCAAAGCCCTATGAGGTTGCTACCATCACAATTCCTACTTTGAAGATGAGAAAACCCAAGCTTAGAGAGATGAAGACACTTGTCCAAGGTTCAACTAGTGTTCAAACCCAGGGATGTCTGACTCTGAAATCCAAGTTCTTTAACCCTACACTGTACTGCTTTTCCCCCTCCAGTGGCATAATGACTAACTAGCTTCTACATACTACCTCAGAGGATCTCCTGTCACTTCATTTCTCTAGGTTTCAGTTTTTCCATCTGAAAAACAGGTGTTGTTCAGGATGCCTACTAAGATCCCTTCTAGTTCTTACAGTATTATAACAGAAAAATTTTATAATTATTTTTATACTCCATGCAGGTTAATACCGACACACATACACACACCTTGGAACTTAAAAATGCAAAGCAGTGGCGACATAAAAGCAGAGGAAATAACTCCAAGACCTTGTGTCAAAAAATAAACATTCTTGATTCCTCCCTACTCATGTCCATCAGAGATGCACTTCTGAGTTCATTTTCCCACATTACGAAAAATTATGTTTTCCCCAAGAAGTGTAAGGATGTGATCCTTAAGGGTTCTGGACTTCACCACACAGCCTGGTAAAAAGAACGGTAAGCAGGCACTTAGTCCAATCAGGGGGCTAGCATGTTATTTTGTACAGGACAACTGTTCAATAAGTGTTTATTGGATCATGATACAGAATGGTTTGAGGTTCTCCAAGTCTCACACCAAAAGCCTATACAACATGACCTTTGTAACTGGACTGATTGTGCAGTAAATTAAAACAATCTAATCAAGGTAATGTTAACCTAAAAGCAAAGAACCCATGAAAGGATAAAGCCATGCTGAGACAACTTACTATCAAAAATAAGAGTTGGGTTTATCTAGAAAGGTAGTGTAATTATTTCTCTGTGTGCAGAAACAACCATCAATATCCCAACATAATGCTTCTGTGTTGCAAATGAATCTAAGAACTATCAAGGAAGATCCAGACATTACGGACCAAGTTGAAAAGCTTTGGCAAAGGGTTCAAAGAAAAAAAAAAAAAGGCGATAGCAGGGCTAAGGTAAAATGTGTCAAAAGAACAAATCTCCTGGAATCCTTCCGCTCATAAAGTGACAGTTTCATCTGAAATCCCTACCAACGGTTAAGTTTGGAAATGAGTCGTATATTCATTCGTAGGTCTAGACTTCAACCAACACCAGCAAATGGAGTTTCAGATAGCATGTTAAAACAATAGTCTTGTGAGGGCGTAGGGAAAGAAGTGAATCCAGGCTCTGGAGTGGAAGCTCTCGGAGGTATCAATCAGATACAGTAGCAGATACAGCCCTCCACAAAAAAAAAAAAAAAAAAAAAGTCCAAGGCTGAAAAAATACTTTCGGGCAAAACTCGATTTCAGTTTTCTAGAATGCTGTCTCTTTAGAGAATCCTCAAACGATCCTTGGTTTTTAAGTAAGTCTTTACGAGAAGTAGAAAGTCATCCATTTAGGGTACAAGGGTCCTGTTACCAAGGAAGTTGTGTCCGAAAGTGTGCAAATCCCACAATCTGGAGGAGAACGTTTGCCTCTCCGGAGGATTTCATTTTCAGGCGGAAAAACAAACCCGGTGTCACCTCAACATCGGGGCCACACAAACCTCGCCACCATTACAAAACCGAAGTGCCAAAGGTGCAGAATCTGAAGCCGGAAGCACTACGAGGCCAAGATCGAGTTCCAGGAGAAAAAAATCAAACCCGAGAGGGCAGAGCGGACCCTCCGCGGCCCCGGGCCGAGAGAGGCACGCTAGGCCCTTCCGGTCCGAGCCGCGGTCGCCGGGAGGCCGGGCGACAGGCCGGGTGACGGGCCGGGCTTCCACCCGAGCCCGGGGATTCGCGGCCTACCCTCGCCGGTGCCCTCTCGCTGACTCCCGACACCGGCAGCTCCTCCGCCTCCGCCCCTTCGCCTGCGGCGCGGCCTGCGCGGACCGCGGGGAGCCGGAAGAGACCGCCGAGCCTCCAGCGGCCGGGTCGGTGCGGACGCGGCGGCGGCAGAGGCCGTGTCCGCGGCCGCCCCTCCCCCACCGGCCCGGCCCAACCGCCGCTGCGACGCGAGCAGCCGCGCCAACGCCGGGCCCAACCGCCGACCTGCCGCGGCCCGGGCGAGGCGGCGGCGGCGGCGGCGGCGCGGGCCTGCTCCCCACGCCGCCCGCGCGAGTCCACCGCGGGCCCGTTACTCCTCGAGCCGGCCCGCGCCGCCGCCCGTCAGGACGCGCCGCCCTCGGGGTTCTGGCCGAGGGCGGCCGCGGGGGGCAGCGGAGCAGATACTTACTCAGGGGTCGGGTGCTCGGGGTCGTAGAAATCCCCCATCTTCGGAGGCGGCTGCGGCGGCAGCTGCTTCATCGGGAGCGGCTGGAGGCGGCGACGCGAGCCCCCTCCCCGCGGCAAGGCGACGCGCGGGAGGGGAGGGGAGGAGGCCGCTGGTCCGACCGCGGCGGCGGCGGCAGGGGCGGCCCGCGTCGCTTGCTCGCTCGTTCCCTCCCTCCCTCCGGCGCCCGCCCGCCGCTCTCTCCCCCACACACTCACACGGGGAGCGACGCGCACCCCGCCAGCCCCTTCGCCTCCCAGGCCCGGCCCCTTAAAGGGACACGCACCGGCCGCGCGTCCGCCGCCAGTCGGCGCTCCCGCAGCTGCCCTGCGACCCCAGGCGGGGGCGGGTCGGCCGGCCCGATCCTGCCCGCGGCTTCCCGGAACAATAAGCACCGGACCCCGAGTGGCGGCGCCGCCGCGACCCCTCCCTCGGGCCCACCAAGGCGGCTGGGGGCTGAGGCGTGACCCGGCCTAGTCCCAGGCTGTTGGCTGGCGACGTCGGGGGAACGGCCCGAGCCCGCCGGGACTCTACCCTTCCTACCCCGCCGCCAGGGAAGACCTGCCCGCCCGGAGCAGAGGAGTCCGCGGCGGCGGCGCCGAGGGCCCCTCCCCCGGGCCTCCGAGGTCTGAGGTACCGCGCTCGCCGCGCCTCCCGAGCCTCTCGCCCTTCTCTTTATTTCTCCTCCTCGCTTTCTGTCCCCCTTGCCTCTTCATCTCACCCCTCAGCAGCTACGGAAACGGAGCCAGGCCCGGGATTCGCCCGGAGGCCGAGCTCCCGGGATGCCCCCTCCTCCTTCCCGCCTCCCTCTGGGTCTTCTGCCCCCACCCCAACTCTGCAACGCCACAGCGCCGGTCTTCCGCGGGGTTCTTAAGGCCTCGGAGCAGACGTCCTTGTCGAAGGCTGTCGATCACTTTCCTGCGAAAATGACGAGGTGAGAGTAAATAGGACAGCTTGAAAGGGCTACGTTTTTAGTTATTTTTGGAAGGAGAAACAATGCATAAAGCCTTTAGCTAAACGCTCAGGACGTTGAAGAGTTATGATAATTGATCATTTTGAAATTGGGAGTTCATAGGATCGACCAGCTTTGGGGGGGGTTACTATAATTTTAAATAGGATTCTACCAGCAAACAGTGGCATGGAAGTATGTGTTGTGGACTGACTGTGTGCCTCGACCCACCTAGTTTATATGGTAAAAATCCTAACCTCCCAGGTTTTAGGAGGTGGGGCCTTAGGGTGATTAAATCGTAAGGGTGGAGCCCTCCTGAATGGGATTAGTGTCCTTATAAAAGAGACCCCCCATTGAGCTCTCTTCCCTGTCTGCCTTGTGAGGGAAGATAGCAGAAGAAAAGGAAAGGGCAGGCTACAGCCAAGAAGAGTTCTCCCACCAGATCTCAGCCATGCCTGCACCCTGCTCCGGGATTTCCAGCCGCCAGAACTGTCAGAACTAAATTTCGGCTGTTTATAGCCACCCAGTCTATATGGTATTCTGTTACAGCAGCCTAAATCAAGACAGTTGTGTCCTAATTACTGAAATGTGATCTAAGTGAACAGACATCCTTTACTGGCTCTTTTTTATATCCTGAAAGTATGTGTGGATGCGCATATGCATAGGCCGGCAGTGTCTACTATCTTTTTATCACCATTTTTCACTTGGGGATTATTTTAGAATTTTTTTTCTGTTGCCTTTAGACATAGGATCCAGGTATAGCGCCCATCTGATTCCCTAAGTTCAAGTCTCTCATGACCACTTCTTTACAGAATGTTACATAATTTCTCTGTGCTTTTTTTCTCATTGTAAGATGAGAATGTTAATGTGGATAGGTCCTGTCACTGTTGCAAGGATCAAAGGAGAGAATATTTGTAAAGTTCTAAACTTCCAGTAAATGTCAACAGTTAATCAGACATTTTATTTTAGTGCAGTGGTTAAGAGCTAACTCTGCTTTGCATCGTATACCAGCCCTGCCACTTTCCAGTATGTGTCACTGGGCTTGGTTACTTTTCATGCAAGATTACTAGAATACTGAATACTATTAAATGCCCTCATCTGTTATTGTACCAGGGGTTTTTGTGCACATTTTTTTTTTTAAAGATTTTATTCATTTATTTGAGAGGGGGAAGGGAGAACAAGAGGGGGGAGGGTCAGAGGGAGAAGTAGACTCCCTGCTGAGCAGGGAGCCAGATGTGGGGCTTGATCCCGGGACTCCAGGATCATGACCTAAGCTGACGGCAGCCGCTTAACCAACTGAGCCACCCAGGCGCCCCACTGGGCACGTATTTTAAATTCAAGAGAATGCATCCTCAGAACATATTCTTGGGCCTGGCCTCTTGATCAAAGCTGTGGAATAATTTTGTCTTTAGCATTATTAGATATTGACTGTCTCCTAGTTTGTTACATAAAGCCTTCTGCAAATGTGTTTGAAGGAAAAATGTCAAAAAGTCTTAAGGCGAAACCTAAGAGGTATTCATTCATGGAGTGCTGAAAACCATAAAAATCTTTATAATTGCTCCTGCCATTACTGCTTCCTGTTGACCCAGACCACCCCATCCCAGGGGACCCTAGGGTAGCCTTTAGTGATCCCGAAACAAAGTTGACTCAGGCATCTCTTGCCTTAGGAGAGCCTTTTGGCCCAAGTTGGACAATTGATCTCTTAAGCACAGTCTCCAAATTACTATTTGTAAAAAAAAAAAAAAATTTTAAGATTTTTATTTATTTATTTGTTAGAGCAAGCGCACAAGCAGGGGGAGCGGCAGGCAGAGGGAGAAGCAGGCTCCCCGATAAGCAAGGAGCCGGATGTGGCACTCAATCCCAGGACCCTGGGATCATGACCTGAGCTGAAGGCAGGCGCTTATCCGACTGAGCCACCCAGTACGACTGAGAAAGTACCTAGTACATGTAAACTAATAGCCATGCACTAAAAAATTAGCTACCTTACAAATTTAAGGCTCAACATACTTGAAAGTTATTTTAGATTTAATCAATGTACAAAAGAACGGTAGCATAATTTAGAATGATGGTTATTTTAACTGTTCTGCACAAATCTATCACACTCATTGGCTCTGGAATTCCTTAGAGAAAAAAAGTATAATTACAATTGATTTTTAATCATGTTCAATCTGCAGATCTCAACACAAGAGGAATCTAGAAAGCAATACGCAACCTATATTGAACCCTATCACATACATTATTTGTATCAAGTTAGCACCTTCCTATATAGTAGTATTGTACTCTGTAGTTGTCTTTTTCTCTTCCGTATTTCTTTGTTAACTGATTTTCATTACATAAGTCTATCTTCCCAACTCTTTTTTTTTTTTTAAGATTTTATTTATTTATTCATGAGAGAGAGAGAGAGAAGCAGAGGGAGAAGCAGGCTCCCAAGGAGCAGGAAGCCCGATGCGGGACTCAATCCCAGGACCCTGGGATCATGACCTGAGCCGAAGGCAGATGCTTAACCATCTGAGCCACCCAGGCGCCCTTCCCAACTCTTAAAAGTTCACTGAAGGCAGAAGCATTATTGTCTTTAATATTTTATAGTGTTTGGCTCTGTATATGCCAGGTATTTAATGAATACTTAATTTGCTACTCTTTTGAAAGCCTTACTTTTTTTTTACTCTTTTTCTTTTAGAAACTCTAAAGTGTTCACATTTTATTTTCCTGTCCAGACTAGATTATTGAGCAGCTGATAAGCTATTGGCATCCAGGTAAGCACTGTCTTCTGTTAAGACTCCTTCATAAGCTCCTAGGAGCCAACCATTTCATTGGGCTTGAAAGTGCTGACTTGAAAGAACCATACACTTAACCCTCAAGTACACAGGAATATTATTAATTCCTTGTCAATGCGTGTTAATTTTGTCTTCCCTACGAGAGTATCAGACACGAAGGGAAGTGATTATAGTGTTTGTTTTGTTGTGTTTTGGATCTTGACACCCTTTCAGAGAATTCATCTCAAGAGCTGTTCATTGCATCTTCCTTCCCAGCCTTGTCTGTCCCAGCAAAGGATGAAACTCAGTTTTACAAATTAGTAAACCAAAGATCCCAGAGGTTAAGGTACTTATCTAGGGTCACGTGACTAAGGAAAGGGAGAGCCAGGATTTGAATCTGGCTATCTGATTAAAGACATTTTCAGACAAAAAAAATCTGGAGTTTACCACCAACAGAAGATACTCGCTGATACAAGAAGGAGCAATGAGCAAAGAAATTGGTAAATAAGTGCTTAAAACTAAAAACGTAACAAAGTAATAATACATAATTTGTGTGGTTAATAAAGTAAGGCAAGATAGAACTAATATCCAGGAGAACAAAATCAAAATTTGGAAGTGGGAAGGGTGGAGTGATGATTGGAGTTGAAGTTTTCCAAAGTCCTTGTATTGTTTGGGAAGAGGGTAAAAATATGGATTAAGCTTTATTCTTTTAAGTACTCATGGTATCTCAAGTAACTACTAAGAGTTCCAATTTCTAAGTTAATAGAGGAAAGAGAACAAAATTACGAAAAAAGCATCATACGGAAATAGAAAAAAAAAGCAATAGTGAAACAAATTGAAATCACAAATAATATGGTAAAAAAATAAATGCAAATATTTCAATAACTACAGTAAATGTAAATTGAATAAAGTCTCCAGTTTTAAAAAAAAGAATGTAAAATAGACAAGGAAACAAAATCCAACCATATGCTATTTTTGAGACATTCTTAAAACCAAGAACATAGAAAAATGTAAAAGGATGGAAAAACATGTCAGGCTAATATATCAGTAGAAAGCTGACAACATCAGACTAAGAATAAATGAAAATTACTAAATGAAGTTCACTAGGACTTCAGAATTCCTTTTTTTTTTTTTTAAAGATTTTATTTATTTGAGAGAGAGAGAGGAGCAGGGGGAGGCAGAGGGAGAAGCAGGCTCCACGCTGATCAGGGAGCCGGACGTGGGGCTCGAACCCAGGACTCCAGGATCATGACCTGAGCTGAGGGTAGGTGCTTAACCAACTGAGCCACCAAGCACCCCAGGACTTAAGACTTCTAAATATGCCTGCATATTACATGTCCTTAAGATACAAAAAGCAAAATTCGACAGTACAAGAAAAATGAATATCCCAGTATAGTGGAGATTTTAACACACCTCAAAATAATGGATAGATCTTATAGACAAGAATCAGAAGATATAAACAACATAATTAAAAAGATTGAATTTATAGATATATATAAACTGTTGCACTCAACAGAACACTCATATCCTAATATGCATGTGTGGAATGTTTATGAAAATTGACCACATACATGTAAGTCCATGTAGTTATTCTCAACAAATTCAGATGATTGATGTTGCATAAGCCATGTTCTCTGACAAATTTGAAATTAAGTTAGAAATCACTAACTAAGGGGCGCCTGGGTGGCTCAGTTGGTTAAGCGACTGCCTTCGGCTCAGGTCATGATCCTGGAGTCCCGGGATCGAGTCCCGCATCGGACTTCCTGCTCAGCAGGGAGTCTGCTTCTCCCTCTGACCCTCTTCCCTCTCGTGCTTTCTATCTCTCATTCTCTCTCTCTCTCAAATAAATAAATAAAATCTTAAAAAAAAAAAAAAAAGAAATCACTAACTAAGGGGGCGGGGCACCTGGGTGGCTCAGTTGGTTCAATGTCTGCCCTCAGCTCAGGTATGATCCCAGGATCCTGGGATTGAGCCCTACATCGGGCTCCCTGCTTGGCGGAGAGCCTGCTTCTCCTTCTCCCTCTCCCTCTGCCATTCCCCCAGCTTGTGCTTTTTGGCTCGTTCTCTTTCTGTCAAATAAAAGAATAAAATCTAAAAAAAAAATTTTTAAGGGTGCATTTTTTTTTATTTTTTTATTGTTATGTTAATCACCATACATTACATCATTAGTTTTTGATGTAGTGTTCCATGATTCATTGTTTGTGCATAACACCCAGTGCTCCATGCAGAATGTGCCCTCTTTAATACCCATCACCAGGCTAACCCATCCCCCCACCCCCCTCCCCTCTAGAACCCTCAGTTTGTTTTTCAGAGTCCATCGTCTCTCATGGTTCTTCTCCCCCTCCAACTTACTCCCCTTCATTCTTCCCCTCCTGCTATCTTCTTCTTTCTTTTTTTCTTAACATATATTGCATTAGAAAAAAAATTTTTTTAGAAAGAAATCACTGGGGCGCCTGGGTGACTCAGTCGTTAAGCATCTGCTTTCAGCTCAGGTCACCTGGGATCGAGCCCCTCATCAGGCTCCCTGCTCACGGGAGGCCTGCTTCTCCCTCTTCCACTCCTCCTGCTTGTGTTCCCTCTCTCGCTGTGTCTCTCTCTGTCAAATAAATAAATAAAATCTTAAAAAAAAAAAAACAACTAGCAAAACTGACTCAGTGAGAAATGGAAAACCTATCTGGTCCTAAAACCATTAAAAATGAGTCAGTAGTCAATTTTCTCTCAAAAAGAAAGGAAGGGATGGATGAATAGATGGACGGGCAGACCCAGACAGGCAAAGATAGGACAAGAAAGGAGAAGTTACAGGCTATTCTCATTCTTTTTTTTTTTTTTAAAGATTTTATTTATTTATTTGACAGAGAGAGACAGAGCAGGAACATAAGCAGGGGGAGTGGGAGAGGGAGAAGCAGGCTCCCCACAGAGCAGGGAGCCCGATGTAGGGCTCGATCCCAGGACCCTGGGCTCATGACCTGAGCCGAAGGCAGACACTTAACGACTGAACCACCCAGGTGCCCAAGCTATTCTCATTCTTGAACAAAGATGGAATAATCGTGAACAAAACATTAAAGCAAATCCAGCAATTTGTTAAAAAGATAAAAATCAGGATCAAGTTGAATTTATTTCAGGAGTGAAAGTTAGTGTTCAGTTATGCAAACTTGTTAAAGTAATTCACATATTAACAAATTATGATGGTGTGGTAGGCAGAATAGCTCCCCAGAGATGTCCGCTTCCTAATCCCTGGAACCTGTGACTATGTTTCTTTGTGTGGCAATAGGGACTTTGATGTGATCGAGTGCCAGACCTTGGGATGGAGAGGTTATCTTGGATTATCTGGTCCCAATCTAATCACAAATCCTTAAAAATGGAAGAGGAAGGCAAAAGTGTTGGTCAGAGAGATGAAAAGGACAAGCACTCAACCTGCCTGTTGCTGGCTCTGAAAATGGCGGAAAAGGGCCATGAGCCAAGAAATGTGGCAGCCTCTGCAAGATGAGAATGACCCTCGCTCATTTTACAGGGAGCAGGAAAACAGGGACTGTGGCCCTACAACCTCTAGGAACTGAATTCTGCCAATAACCCAAATGAGCAGGAACTAGATTTTCTCCCAGAACCTCGAGAATGGATGTAGCCTGCCAACACTGTTTTTAGTTCAGTTAGACCCATACTGGACTTCTGGTGTGCAGAACTGTAAAAAAAATAAATGTGTGGGGCTGTCTTAAGCTTCTAAGGTTGTAATACTTTGTTACAGCCGCATTTGAAAGCTAACAAAGATGGTACATCCAAATACTTTTATTTATTTATTTATTTATTTATTTATTAAGATTTTATTTATTTATTTGAGAGAGAGAGAGAGATAGCGAGAGCAGGAACACAAGCAGGGGGAGTGAGAGAGGGAGAAGCAGGCTTCCCGCGGAGCAGGGAGCCCGATGCGGGGCTCGATCCCAGGACCCTGGGATCATGACCTGAGCCAAAGGCAGACGCTTAATGACTAAGCCACCCAGGTGCCCTATTTATTTTTTTTAGATGCAGGCAAAAATATTTGTTAAAATTCAGTAAACATTCTTAATTTTATTTTATTTAAAAGATTTTATATATTTATTTGAGAGACAGAAGAGCACAAGCAGGGGGATTTCAGCAGGCAGAGGGAGAAGCAGGCTTGTCAGGCCCACTGAGCAAGGACCCTTGATGCGGGACTTGATCCCAGGACCCTGGGATCATGACCTGAGCCAAAGGCAGATGCTTAACCAACTGAGCCACCAAGGTGCCCCCATTCTTAATTTTAAAAAAAGAAAAGAAAGAGGAACAAAACAACCTTTAACAAATCAGGAATAGAAGAAAACTTCCTTAACCTGATAAAGACCTAGAGCAAACATTATTCGTAATTGTGGAAGAAAGCATTTCTTTTGAAATTGAAAATAAAACAGAATGTTTGCTGTCACCATTTCTATTCAACATTGTATTTGAGTCCTAGCCAGCAAAATAAAACAATAAAAGAAATAAAACATGTGAGGGGCTCCTGGGTGGCTCAGTTGGTTAAACCTCCAACTCTTGGTTTGCTCAGGTCATGACCTCAGGGTCATGGGATCAATCCCGCATAGGGCTCTGCACTCAGTTCAGAGTCAGAGTCTGCTGGAGATTATCTCCCTCTCCCTCTGCTCCTCCCTCTCCCTCTCTCTCTCTCAAATAATAAAATCTTTTTTTAAAAAGAAATAAAACATGTAAGGAATGAAAAGGACAGTGGTTATTTACAGGTGGTATGATTGTCTACTTAGAAAACGCAAAATAATTTACAGAATAATACTTAGAACTAATGACAATTCTTCAAGTTTTTCAGATAAAAAAATCAACTGCATTTCTATAATCCAGCAAATAGAAAGCACAAGCAAATAAAACATACCATTTACAAAAACAACATCAACACCAGACTGTTAGAGCTAGGTTATCTTACTGACTATCCATCTGAAGAGAAAGTAAAAATGGATCCTTATTTCATATTTAACCCAAAAGTCAGTTCCAGATGGATTGAAGACTTCAATATAAAAGGCAAAACATGAAAAGATTTAGAATAAAATATAGAATAATACAATATCTTTGGGACATGCCCATGTGATAGAAAAAATGTTCTTAAAATTCAAAGTACAAACCAAAGAAGTCAAAATTCAGCTCCCTTGAAACTTTGTCCTCAAAAGACAAAATGTGAAAGGAAAAATCATAAACTAGAAGGAAAGGTCTGCAACACCTATAACAACAACAAAAGTATCTAGAGCTATACCCCAGTACAGTAGGTACTAACTACGTGTGGCTCTTGAGTACTTAAAATGTAGGTAGGCCAAATTAAGATGTGCTGTAAGTATGAAATAGATTCCAGATTTCAAAAAGTTAGTACAAAAAAAATTTTTGTATATATTAACATCTTGGAATGATAATATTTTGGTAAGTAGATTGTATTATTAAGTAAAAAAACTATTAAAATTAATTTTGCCCAGGGATACCTGGATGGCTTAAGTGGCAGACTATTGATTTCAATTCTGGTGATGATCTTCAGGGTCCTGGGATAGAGCCCCACGTCAGGCTCCCCAGTCAGTGAGGAGATTGCTTCAGCAATCTCTCCCTCTGCCCCTTCCCCACTTTCTAAAATAAATAAATCTTTAAAAAAATAAAATTAAATTAATATTTCCTGTTTCTTATCACTTTTTTAACTGTGGCTACTAGAACATTTTAAATTACATCTGTGACTTGCATTTTATTTCTTTTGGACACCACTGATCTAGGATATACAAAAAATTCATGCAAATCAGAAAAAGGCAACCCAATTTTTTAAACTGGCAAATACCACAAAAGAGGAAAAATTAATAGCTAAGAAACATTCGAAAAGATGCTTCAGGGAAATCAGGCATAATGTAGTGTTAGTGGGAATGTTAATTGGTATAATGGCTTTGGAAAACAATTTAGCATTACCTTGTAAAGTTAAATATGGGCATACCCCACAACCAACAATTGCATATATCTTAGATATGCAAACTACAGAAACTTGCATGTGTACACCAAAAAGGCCATGTTCAGAAACGTCCATAGCAGTATTGGCAAATGTCCATACAACACAGTGCATTTATATAATGAATGATTAAACAGCATTGAACATGAACTTTTCAGCTCTACCCATCAAAATAGTTAAATCTCAGGAATATGACCAGGCAAAAAAAGGACATAAAAGAATATATAATTTTGTTTTCATTTATATGAAGTTTTACAAGTCAAAATTAAAGAACAGATTATGCAGGGAATTAAGCATGATAAGGAAAAGTAAAAAAAATTCAGGATTTTTTTTTTCTAAAGGGGGAAAAGGAATCATTGGAGCACCAAGGAGGCTTCAGAGAATCACTAAAGCTCTATTTCTTAAACTAGGTGGTAAGTCCACAGATACTTGTTTTACTGTTATTTTGTCTACCCTCTGCTTGATTAATAAATGTATCTATTTACTGTTTAATAAAAGCTTGTATATATCCTTTGACCAGCAAATTCTATCAGAAATTCTAGTTTATAGAAATAAAAGTACTAGTACAAAGAATAAATGTATAGGGCGCCTGGGTGGCTCAGTCATTAAGCGGCTGCCTTCAGCTCAGGTCATGATCCCAGAGTCCTGGGATCGAGTCCCACATCGGGCTCCCTGCTCAGCGGGAAGCCTGCTCTCCCTCTCCCACTCCCCCTTCTTGTGTTCCTGCTCTCGCTGTCTGTCTCTGTCAAATAAATCAATAAAATCTTTAAAAAAAAATAAATGTACAAAGATATTAATTATATCATTACTTGTGTTGGGGAAATAAAGAGAATGCTCATAAATAAGGGAATGGAGGAATACATTTTATAATATCCATACTAAGAAATATTACACTGTCATTTAAAAGAATGAATTTTCACTATACTAGATAATTCTGGAGGATTTTCCATAAGGTTTTGGGGTTTGTTGAATGGGAAAAGCAAGACACCTAAACTTATATATACATGCATATATTTGTTTGATTTTATGAGTATGGGGAAAGATACGAGTGGATATATGCTGTTTAGTTGAGTTATCTTGATTTAAGAGTGGGGAGAAATGAAGGAAGGAGGAAGTGACAAAAAAAGAAAAAGCTGGGGTGCCTGGGTGGCTCAGTCGGTCAAGGATCTATCTAACATTGGTTCAGGTCATGATCTCAGCGTCCTGGGATTGAGCCCCATGTCAGGATCAGCACTCAGTGGGGAGTCTGCTTCTCACCCTCTACCTCTCCCTCTGCCTCTCCCCCCCACTCATGCGTGCTCTCTCAAATAAATAAAATCGTTAAAAAAAAAGAAAAAGGGAAAATAACCACGATACCCCAGTAAATATATTGTGGTCCTGTGTATATATATAAACTACAGGTGTTTGTATGTATCTAGAAATCCATTAAGAAATTGGGAGAAAAAAGCAGTTGAATCTGTATTTACTGATACGGGGATGTCAACTGAAAAAAGTAAGTTCCAGAGTAATATGTGTTTGGAGTCTATTTCAGTAAAGCCAAAAGCCATATATATGCATATTTATGTAAGTGCTTGTATAAGTATATCTGAGCTGTGAGAGATGCAGATGATTACACACCAGTCTTAATATTGCTGATGGTTTGAATGCGGGGAGTGAGAGAAAGAAAGCAATCAAAGATAAATCCTAAATTTTTTACCTCAGCAACTGGGTGATTGGTGGAGACTAATGGAGACTGGGGGACAAAGAGGTCTGGGGATGTGGGATTAATAATTCTGCTTGAGGGGCATCTGGGTGGCTCAGTTGGTTAAGCGTCCAGCTCTTGATTCCAGCTCAGGTCATGACCTCAGGATTGTGAGATGGAGCCCCGCACTGGTGTCTGTGCTCAGCAGGGAGTCTGCTCGAGATTCTCTCTCCCTCTGCCTCTGCCCCGCCCCTCCCCCCCACACAGGCGCACACCCTCTCTCTCCCTCTCTCTCAAAATAAGTAACTCTTTTTAAAAAGTGATTCTGGGGCTCCTGGGTGGCTCAGTCGTTAAGCGTCTGCCTTCGGCTCAGGTCATGATCCCAGGGTCCCGGGAGAAAATACAGCTAGAGAAAAGGGCAGATACAAGGACAGGGCCCAGGATTAAGCATTTGGGAACATTAGTATTTACAGGTCATAAAGAATGATAAGCCAGCAAAGGGACAAAGGTGAAGTTGAAAACAAACAGGAGAGTGTGGTCTCGTGGAAGCCATGAAAAGAAAGCTTTTAGATGAATGGACAGAAATTCAGAAGCAGTATGCTTCCCACTCTCAACTACTTTTTGGATTTATCTTTTTATCAGTTGTCAATTGCTGTATAACAAAACAGTGATTTAAAACAAAAATAGTGGGGTGCCTGGGTGGCTCAGTCAGTTAAGGGGCTGCCTTTGGCTCAGGTCATGATCCCAGGGTCCTGTGTTTGAGCCCTGCGTCAGGCTCCTTGCTCAGTGGGGAATCTGCTTCTCCCTCTCCCTCTGCCCTTCCCCCACCCCTGCTCATGCTCACTGTCTCTCCTCTCAAATAAATAATATCTTAAAAAAATAAAACAAAAATAGTCATTGATTGTGCTCACAAATTTTCAATCTGGTCAGGACTCAGGGAGGGTTCGTCTCTGTTCCACATGGGATCAGCTGGGACAGCTCTACTGAGAGCTAGCAGATTAGTTTCCAAGGTGGCTCACACATGTTGCTGGCAAGTTGGTAACAGACTGTTGGCTGGCAGCTCAGCCAGGGCTGAGGACTAAGGTCCTTAGTTCTTCCTGTTAGACCTCTTCTTGTGGCCTTAGCTTTTTCATTAGTATAGTGGCCGTTTCTAACAGTGAGCCTCCTAAGAAGAGCCAAGTGAAAACTGCCTTGCCTTTTATGACCTAGCCTTAGAAGTCACATAGCATTTACTTCCACTGTACTCTGTTAGTTGAAGCAATCACAAGGCCCACCCAAGTTCAAGGGGAAGGAGCATAACTCCACCTCTTAATGGGGGAGTGGCAAAGTTTTGGAAGAGCACTTTGGAAGGGAAACTGTTGTTACCATTTGGGCAAAATATCTACCCAAACCGGGTCACACATGATAGCTAAAAAGCAAAGCCTAGAGATATCTGCACAGATGGGTACCAAATGTATTGACAGACTATGTTAGAAATATTGCAACCAAGTGTATGAGAATCACATTTAATGCAGTACCTCTAAGAGTTCTGTGCAATATATATTTCCTAATCAAAGAGGGAAAGCCGGGGTATAAGAGGAGGCATAGATTAAGCAGATACTTGTTTAATGTTAAGTGACAATGACCACAACATTATTAATATTAACAATTATTATTTAAATTTAGTATGTCCATATAAAAATCTTTTTTGAAAAATCAGGCTTAGTATTACCAGTTCTTGGTTATTTCATTTAAAAAAATTTTTAATGAAATAAAAAGTAGACAATGGATGATATTCTTGGAAAAATGAAAATTCCCAAACTTGAATCAAGAAAAATCAGAAAGCAAGAATAACCACAGAAGAAATAAAGGGCTGGGGCACTTGGGTGGCTCAGTCGGTTTAGCATCCGAATCTTGATTTCGGCTCCGGTCATGATCTCACGGTTGTGAGATCAAGCCCCACACTGGGCTCCATACTCAGCCAGGAGTATGCTTGAGATTCTCTCTCTCCCTCTTCCTCTCCCTCTGCCCCTCCCCCTGCTCTCACACACACCCACAACACACACAAACACACTCTTTCTCTCTCTCTCTCAAATATATAAATCTTTAAAAAAAAAAAAGGATAATCGAATATCTATACCTAAAAGAGATGCAGACTGCTTCATTAAAGAAAAAATTATATGATTATCTCAATAAACGAAAAAATATTAATGAAGTTTAACATTCATTACTGATAAGTACCTTCAGTCAATCAACTAGAAGCAGAAGAAAATTTAATATGAAAATGTTTACTGGAAAAGTATAAAAACATTATAGTTAATGTAGAACATTGAGAACTTTCCCATTAAAACTAGAAACATAGAGCACCTGGATGGCTCAGCTGGTTGAGCGACTGCCTTCAGCTCCAGTCATGATCCTGGAATCCCGGGATCGAGTCCTGTGTCGGACTCCCGGCTCGGTGGGGGGTCTGCTTCTCCCTCTGACCTTCTCCCCTCTCATGCTGTCTCTCACTGTCTCTCTTTCAAATAAATAAAATCTTTAAAAAAAAAAACAAAAAACTAGAAACATAATGGGTGCCTGGGTGGCTCAGTTGGTCAAGCATCCAACTCTTGATTTCGGCTCAGGTCACGATCTCAGGGTTGTGAGATCGAGCCCTGTGTCAGATTCCCCACTCAGCAGGGAGTCTGCTTGAGGTTCTCTCTCTCTCCCTCTCCCTCTGCCCCTCCCCCCCAAATATTTTTTTAAAAACTAGAAACATAAGGGGCTGGATGGCTCAGTCGGTTAAGCATCTACCTTTGGCTCAGGTCATGTTCCCGGGGTCCTGGAATCAGGCCCCGTGTCAGGTGCCCTGCTCAGTGTGGAGTCTGCTTCTCCCTCTCTCTCTGACCCTACCCCCTGCTCGTGCTCTTACTCGCTCTGTCTCTGTCAAATGAATAAATTTAAAAATCTTAAAAAAAAAGACTAGAAACATAAGTATACTAATAGACTCATATAAAGGGCCTAAGATTAATTAAAGCCTATAAATAAAGAAGAAGAGAAAAATACTACACATTTTCTGCAGACAATGTGATCTAGACCACTTAAGAAAATCAACTGGTAGGGTGCCTGGGTGGCTCGGTTGGTTAGCGACTGCCTTCGGCTCAGGTCATGATCCTGGAGTCCCGGGATCGAGTCCTGTGTCGAGCTCCCTGCTCAGTAGGGAGTCTGCTTCTCCCTCTGACCCTCTTCCCTCTCATGCTCGCTATCTCTCATTCTCTCTCTCTCAAATAAATAAAATAAAAAAAAAAATCAACTGGTAAACTAGTAGTTCTCATAAAAATTTACTATCAATGTGGTTGTATATGAAATTAGTCTAATTTTTAAGGTTTAGGAGTCCCATGATCATTCTCAAGTTAGGTGGTTTACTAGAATGATTCACAAGACTTACTAGCAGGTTTGGGGCACCTGGGTGGCTCAGTCATTAAGCGTCTGCCTTCAGCTCAGGTCATGATCCCAGGGTCCTGTGATCAAGCCCCGCATCCGGCTCCCTGCTCCGCCAGAAGCCTGCTTCTCCCACTCCCCCTGTTTGTGTTCCCTCTCTCACTGTGTCTCTCTCTGTCAAATAAATAAATCTATAAAAAAATAAAATAAATTTTAAAAATTAAAAAAAAAAAGACTTACTAGCGGGTTATACTCACAGCCAAGGCTTATTACAGCAAAAGATACAGAGTAAGAGCAACAGAACAAAAGTATATATTGGGTAAAGTCCAGAGAAATCACACATAGGCTTCCAAGTCATTCCCCTCGTGGGACCACACAAGATACAGTCTTTCTAGCAGCAAACTGGAAGGACAGTGTGAAATGTCTGCCAAAAGAAGTTCACTCTGGTCCAAGGGTTTGAAGCTTTTATCAAAGGTTGGGGGCATATAGGCAACTGTTCTGGCTACATGACCATCCGTGGTAACTAAAACTCAGGACCCCAACAGCGAAATGAGGCACATCATCAATTGTCATGCTTGTGCAAAACAATCCTAATAAACTGGTACAGCATCATCCATTGCCCTGGGCATACAGAATGTCATCAGAAACATAAAGAGCATTCTGAAGGCCATATTCTCAGGGGTTGGCCAAGGGTTGACAGGGTTCTAGGCTTCCCAAAGACAGGCAACCATTAACTCTTGTCTTCACAAGAGTATTAACTGTATTAACTCTTTTCTTCATAAAAATTAACAGTATTAGCCAATTTTAAAATGTAAGAAAGAAAAAGAGAATCCCATCCATAATGGCAACAAAAGTTATAAACAATGAGAAATAAGTGCACCCTATATGAAGAAAACTTGAAAAGTAGAGTTTTAAGAAACAGGGAAATATATGTTGTACCTAGAAAGAAAGACAACATTGACTTCTGATTCTGGATAAAGAGGGAATAAACACACATCCTATTCCTTTACAAACAGCAGCTAAAAAAAATAAACAAAAACCTGGACATTATACATAAACCAAAATGACTCTGGAATCTTAGTGGCTTGGGACCTTGGGATCACAAAATGACACAGTGATGAGATACCTGGGTTTTCTCTTTTTGTCTCCTATACCCTAGACTGGGTGCTAGAGTAGCTGGCAACTGAGAAAGGCCAACAGGAATACACAAAAATGCTCCCCAAGCTGCTTCTCTAGCTAATGGCCCAAGAAATGTGCAACCTACCAAGAAAGAAAAAGACAATACTTTCCTACCCTACCAAACATGGAACAAAACTATGGTCTCTCTTTACTCCTGTCAGCAATACCTTGGGAATGGGGAGCCTAGAGTTCCACTCTGTCCCAGCTGTAATGTGGGTGGTATCAGAGAAGACTGAGTGGGAACTTGGGGTTTTTCATCCCTGCTTGGTAGTATTGAGGCCCCTTTATATTATCAATGGAGGCTACATGGGGATTCTGGACTTCTCCCCACCAACTGTATAAAGGTACCCTTCCCTTTACCCTTCAGTATCAGAGGAAGCTGAGTGTGAAGATGGAACTTTCACCAACACCCAGCAATAATGAGGCCTCCCCTATTACAATATTGCAGGACCTAACAAGTCACCCCCACCTTCCCAACCAAGGTGGTGTCAGGCATAGTGGGAGGCAAGATATCCAATTTCCATACAAAGGAACAAGGCACCAAGGTATCACTTCCCTCTGAGATGCCAAGAAGGTCAAATGGGAAGTCCGGAATTTCACCCTCATCTGGCAGAAAGGAGGTGGGTTCCCCATTCCTCTCTAGGATGGTGTCAGAAAGAACCTGCTAAAATAGATTTATATAAGATCCAGAGTCTCATGTCTCTAAATGTCCAGGATACAATTTATTTTTTTAAGGATTTTATTTATTTGAGAGAGAGAGCACAAGAGCAAGCAGGGGGAGGAAGAAGGACAAGCAGACTCTGCACTGAGCATGGAGCCTGATGCAGCGCTTTGATCTCAGGACCCCGAGATCATGACCTGAGCTGAAATCAAGAGTCAGACACTTAACTGACTCAGCCACCCAGGCGCCCCTGTCCAGGATACAGTTAAAAAAAAAAAATCACTCATCATACCAAGAACCAGGAAAATTTCAACTTGAATGACAAAATATAATTTTAAAAATACTGACACCAAAATGAATCAGATGCCTGAATTATCTGACAAGGATTTTAAAACAACCATCATAAAACTGCTTCATCAAACATTTATGAACCCATTTAAAACAAATACATTTGAAAAGTCTCAGCAAAGAGGGGCACCTGGGTGGCTCAGTTAGTTGAGCGCCTCCCTTCGGCTCAAGTCATGATCCCAGGGTCCTGGGATTGAGCCCCACAACGGGCTCCCTGCTCGGCAGGAAGCCTGCATCTCCCTCTCCCTCTGCTACTCACCCTGCTTGTGCTCTCACTCTCTCTATCTCAAATAAATAAGTAAAAACTTAAAAAAAAAAAAAAAAAAAGGTCTCAGGGGCACCTGGGTAGCTCAGTTGGTAAGCGTCTGCCTTCAGCTCAGGTCATGATCCCAGGGTCCTGGGATCGAGCCCTGCACCAGGCTCCCTACTCCACGGAGAGCCTGCTTCTCCCTCTCCCACTCCCCCTGCTTGTGTTCCCTCTCTCGCTGTGTCTCTCTCTGTCAAATAAATAAAATCTTAAAAAAAAAAAAGTCTCAGCAAAGAAATAGAATATAAAGTAGAACTAAATGGAAATGTTCAATTCAATGGGTGAGCTCAACATCTGAATGGAGAAGACAGAGGAAAGGAACTTGAAGATAAGACAAAGATACCCAATCTAAACCACAAAGAGAAAAGAAACTGAAAAAAAAAAAAAATGAACTGGTCCTCAGGAACCAGTGGAACTATAACAAAAGATACACATTTGTGAAATCAGAGTCCCAAAAGAAGCGAAAGAGGGTGGGGCAGAAAAAGTATTCAAAGAAATGATGACTGAAATTTTCCAAATTTGTCAAAATACATAAAGCTATAGTTTCAAGAAGCTGGACAAATCATAAACAGGTCAGATCCAAAGATATCACCCCAAGGTACATCATACTTAAACTTCTTAAATCTGAGGTGCCTGGGTGGCTCAGTCAGTTAAGCATCTGCCTTCGGCTCAGGTTGTGATCCCAGGGTCCTGGGATTGAGCCCCAAATCAGGTTCCCTGCTCAGCGGGGAGTCTGTTTCTCCCTCTCCCTTTGCCCCTCCCCCCACTCATGCTCACTCATGCTCTCTCTCCCCCAAATAAATAAATAAAATCTTTTTAAAAATAAACTTCTTAAAACTAAAGACAAAAAATCTTGAAAACATTGACAGAGAAATAACACTTATATAGGGGAACTTTTTTTTTTAATGACATCAGATTTCTCATGAGAAACCATGGAGGTCAAAAGAAAGTGTCCTGTTTTCCAAGTACTCAAGGAAAAGAACTGTCAACCCCAAATTCTACATCTAGTGAAATCATCCTTCAAGAATGAAGGGAAGCTACAGAAAACTTAGAAGAACTAAGAATTTGTCACCACTAAACCTACTCTAAAAATTGCTAAAGAATGTTCTTAAAATATAAGGAAGATGATAAAAGATGAAAACAGAATATCAGGAAGAATTAAAGCACAATTGCAATCATGAAAATGTTGGCAAATACCTTCCTTCTCTCAAGTTTTTAAAATTATGTTTGACAGTTGAAGCAAAAAATATAATATTGTCTGATGTGGTTCTCAGTGTATGTGGGAGAAACATTTAAGACAATTATAAATAGGGGAGGGTAAAATGACTTAAAGGGAGGTAAGGTTTTTATACTTCATTTGAACTTAGTAAAATATTAAAACCGGTAAAGTGTGATAAATAATGTATGTATAATGTAATATTTAGAGCAACACCAAAAAAATCTATACAAAGAGACACACCAAAAACACTATAGTTAAATCAAAATGGAATTCTTTTTTTTTTTTTTAAATGCAGGGCTTGAACTCACAACCCTGAGATCAAGACCCGATCTGAGATCAAGAGTCGAATGCTTTTTAAAAAAAATTTTTTAAGATTGTATTTATTTATTTGTCAGAGTGACAGAGCACAAGTAGGCAGAGTGGCAGGCAGAGGCAGAGGGAGAAGCAGGCTCCCCGCTGAGCAAGGAGCCTAATGCCGGACATGATCCCAGGACCCTGGGATCATGACCTGAGCTGAAGACACCTTAACCAACTGAGCCACCCAGGTGCCCCACCAAAATGGAATTCTTAAAAAAAATCAACTAACTCACAGAAAGGCAAGAAAAAGAAAAAGAGAAATGGAAAAGAGAAGGAATAAACAAAAAAGAAAATGGCAGATTTAAGCTCCAGCATTTCAGTGATTACATTAAATATAAATTCTCTAAATATAGTAATTAAAAGACAGAGATTAGGAGAGTAAATTAATAATAATAAGAAAAAGATCAGTAACCCCGTTTTTAAAAATATGCAAAGAAGTTGTATGGTGACAGATGGTACCTACATTTGTGGTGAGCATGACATAACATATAGAGTTGTCAAATTGCTGTGTTGCATACTTGAAACTAATGTAACATTGTGTGTCACCTATACATCAATAAAAAAATTGCTAAGAGAATAAGAAAATTTATATGCAGAATTTAAAAGCACAGGAAGAACCATGGTTTTAACTTTGTAACTGTAATGTATCAAATATTAATTTTAGAAACTAAATAAACTTTTTTTAAAGATTTTTTTTTTATTTTTAAGTAATCACCACACCCAACATGGAACTTGAGCTCACAACGACAAGATCCAGAGTGGTATGATCCAGATATGATATGCTGACTGAGGCAGCCAGGCGCCCCTAGAAACTAAATAAACTTCGAGTAATCTCTTCTGTGCAAAAATTAATTAATTAATTAATTATTAAAAATAAAATGGGCAAAGGATCTGAGTAGACATTTCCCCAAAGAAGATATACAAATTCCTAATAGGCATATGAAGAAAATGCCCAACATCATTAGTCATTAGGGAAACGCAATAATGAAATACTGATTTACATCCACCAGGATGGCTAGAATTAAAAAGGCAGACTACAATAAGTGTTGACAAGGATGTGGAGAAATTGGAACTCATACATTGCCAGTAGGAATATAAAATTGTGAAGCCCTTGGAAAATAGTCTGGGCAGTTCCTCAAAATATTAAACATAGAGTTAATATATTACCCAGCAAATCCACTCGAGTATTAAAAACATGCATCTACACAAAACTTGCACATGAATATTCATAGAAACATTACTTATAATAACTAAAGGTAGAAACATCTCAAATAAGTACATTAATTGATGAATGGATAAACAAAATATGTGATATCCATACAATGGGAATAATATTTGGAAGTAAAAAAGGAATGAAGTCTGATAATATGCCACAACATAGATGAGCCTATGAGGGAATCCCACTGCAAAAGACTACATATTATATGATCATATTCATGTGAAATGTGCAAATAGGCAAATTGATAGAGACAGAACATAGAGTAGTGGTTGCCTATGGCTGACAGAGGTGGAGTGAAGAAATGGGGAGTGACTGGTAATAGACATGAGGCTTTTGGGGGGTGACAAATAAATGTTCTCAGATTGCGATGGTCTGTGGATATACTAAAGTCCATTGAATTACATTCTTTAAATGGGTGATTTTTGTGTGTGAATTATATTGTAATAAATCTTTTTATAGAAGAAGCCACAGGAAAAAAAGTCAATTGTATTTTTATATACTAGCAATGAATAATTGGATATTGAAATTTAAAAAAACAGTATCAATAATAGGAAGTACTTAGGGATAAACTTACAAAGGATATGAAAGATCTGTATACTGAAAACTACAAAATACTGCTGAGAAAAATTAAAACCTTATAAATGGAAAGATAGACCTCCTTTATGGTTAAAAGACTCAATATTGGGCGCCTGGGTGGCTCAGTTGGTTAAGCGACTGCCTTCGGCCCAGGTCATGATCCTGGAGTCTGGGAATCGAGTCCCGCATTGGGCTCCCTGCTCAGCGAGGAGCCTGCTTCTCCCTCTAATCCTCCCCCTCTCATGTACTCTCTCTCTCTCTCTCATTCTCACTCTCTCAAAAAATAAATAAATAAATCTTTAAAAAAAAAAAGACTCAATATTGTTAAGATGTCAATTCTCCCCAAACTTATCTATAGATTCAGTGCAATACCAATCAAAATCCCAGCAAGCTTTTTTGAAAACATTGACTTACTGATTCTAAAATTCACATGGAAATTCAAAGAAACAGAACAGCCAAAATAACTCAGAAAAAGAAAAAAAACAATGTTGGAAGGTGAATACTATGTAATCACAATAGTTATTATAAAGCTACAGTCATCAAAACAGTTTGGTTTTAACATAAAGCTAGGAACATATGTATCAAAGGAATAGAAGAGAGTCCCAAAACAAACCTACACATGTATGGACAACTATTTTTAATGAAGGCATAAAGGCAATTTAGTGGAGAGAGAATACACTTTTTAACAAGTGGTACTTGAACAACTGGACTTCCATATGCAAAAAAATAAACAAGCTTGGATCCATATCTCACACCACATACAGCAATTAACTCTAAGTGAATCATAGACCTAAATGTGAAACCTTAATTATAAAACTTTTAAAAGAAAATGGAAGAAACCCTTGTGACCTTCACTTAGGCAATAAAAGCACAACCCAGGGATGCCTGGGTGGCTCAGTTGGTTAAGCGTCTGCCTTCAGCTCAGGTCATGATCTCAGGGTACTGGGATCAAGCGCCACATCAGGCTCCCTGCTCAGCAGGGAGTCTGCTTCTCCCTCTCCCTCTGCTCCTCCCCCTCCCCTGCTCATGCTCTCTCTTTCTCTCTCTCTCTCAAATAAATAAATCTTTATTTTTTTTTAAGATTTTATTTATTTACTTGACAGACAGACAGTGAGAGAGGGAACATAGGCCATTAGAACTTTTCCAAAAAAGTGTTCTCTCACAGCAGTCTATTGAATGCTTTCTATCTGCCAACTCCTGTGGGTAGAAATAGAGGATATGGAGATAAATGAGGTCATCTCTGCCTTTGGGAAGCTCTCAAGCTAACCAGGAAGCACTTCTAAACAGTTAACATTTCCAGGCAGTGAACGTTAGCCCCAGCGAGTTTGTTAATAACTTTAGACCATACTTGAAGCCAAGAGGGTTGGTCTCTCATTTCCTACAGAGAACCAAAGCAGTAGTCAGCTTTATGTGCTAAGTTAGGAGCATCTGAATGTCTTAACATGGACTTTCAACAATGCGGCAGCAGGTAGCCCAGGCAGGGGCTGAGATGCAGTATTGACTAAACTCATTCTTAAGCACATGCACATGTGAGAATGTCTGGCTTACCTGGCATGTCTGGCCCCCAAAGTACATAGTTCGTACTATGGTGTAATATTACAGCCATCAGGAAAGAGCCTCCCACTCGGTTGGAATACATTTTTCACAGCTTTTTCATTTAATTTTTTACAAATCCATGAAGAATGAGGACTCCAATGGCAATCTAGAGTTGAGCTCCTTGTTGCAGTGAGGGCTGATTTTTTTTTCCTCAGAGGACACTTAACAACTCTTGGTCAGTGGGTCATCACAGCTGAATCATGGCAAAGGATTTCAAAACTGAAAACAGCAGGACACCTCGGTGGCTCAGTCAGTTAAGCAACTGCCTTCGGCTCAGGTCATGATCCCAGGGTCCTGGGATAGAGTCCCGAATGGGGCTGCCTGCTCAGTGGGGAGCCTGCTTCTCCCTCTGCCTGCCACTCCCCCTGCTTGTGCTCTCTCTCTGTCAAATAAATAAATAAAAATCTTTTTTAAAAAATGTTAAAAAAAATTGAAAACATGACATACAAATATAAGGGAGCTATTAAGATGTTAAAGCTGGTTCAAAGAGCATGTTGAGAAAATGGGTATTCACAGACATTTATAAAGGAATATTGGAAGAAAAAAAGGAACGTTAGTATTAAAATGTTGGGTAAGATGTAAAACTGATTCGTGTCGAGCAGAGCAATCAAACTGTAACCTTTGGGGTTATCTTTTCCACTGGATAATATTTAGCATATAACTTTAGAGTAATTGATAGTAAATAACAAAGGCACATTCCTTTAAGATAGGTAATTGAATAACTCTTGGATGAAACCATCATCCCCCTTAATTCCCTAATGACGTTGAAAGTACATGTCAACTATCTTTTTGCCTTTTTCCCAAGTAATTTTTCTTAACATCTTCATATATCTTCAGCCAAGGATCTGAGCCCTCTCTCAGCCACTCATCCATCCCAGCATGCCTTTATAAGTCCATCTTCCCTCTACACCTTTCCCATAGTCACCTATGTCAGAACTACCTCCCACCCTCCTATCAACCCTGTGGTTCATTGTCAGAGGTCAAGGTACCACTCCTCCCTGCTCCCCCTCAGAATCAGTGTGGTAATGAATTGAATCCCCCTTGACACTATTCCAAATTACTTCGTACCAATCTTTCTTGGCTGGTATAAAATAAAGAAAAAAGGTTTCATGGGATTTCACTATTTTATTTGCTTGGAACCTCTCTAGAGACAGCCTGATGAAAAACTAAGTCTTCAACTATTAGGTATTTGGTCCTATTAAATTGGATTTGACAGCTTGGGCACACCTGCACAAAAGCTTTCAAATGAAATGTGCGTTTTGTTGCATGAGCCTAATTTAGAACTGACCCAAGGGGATATTTTGTACGATTGGTGGGAAATTTATGATATCATGTTGAAACTTAGCTTGACTAAATTTAGCTTTAACAATTTTGATTAAAAAAAAATCACAAAACCTTGTTAACTAGACCAACAAAAAGAAGGATATAGACTGTTAACCCTGGCAGTTGATAATGGGACAGTCACATATCTACATGCAAAAGAATGAATCTGGTCTACCTCCTCACAAAATCAACTCAAAAGAACAAAAACTATAAAACTCTTAGAAGACAGCATAGGGGTAAATCTTCATAACTATGGATGTGGCAATGGTTTCTTAGATATGATAACAAAAGCACAAGTAACAAAAGAAAAAGCAGGTGAATTGGACTTCATCAAATTCAAAAACTTTTGTACTTTAAAGGACACCATGAAGAAAGGGAGCCCACATATGGGAGAAAATATTTGCAAATTATGTATCTGACAAGGAACATGTATCAGACTGTATAAAGAACCCTTAATAATTAAAAATTAAATTAGCCATTAAAAATGGAAAAGGATGAGATAGATATTTCTCCAAATACATACAAATGGCAATAAGCACATGAAAAGATGCTCAACATCATTAGTCATTGAGATGTAAATCAAAACCACAATGAGATAGCACTTCACACCCACTGGGATGGCTCTAATAAAAAAGACAGATAATAACAAGTGTTGTTGAACATGTGGAGAAATTGGAACCTTTCAACACTGCTGGGGGAAGATAAAATGGTACAGCCACTTTGAAAAAGTCTACTCAAAAGGTTAAACACAGAGCTACAATATGACCCAGCAATTCCACTCCCAGGTATACACCTAAGAGAAATGAAAACGTATGTCTACACAAAAACTTGTACTTGGTTCATAACAGGACTATTCATAATAGCCCCAAAATGTAAATAACCCAGATATCCATCAGCTGATGAGTGGATTAAACAATTGTGGTATGTCCATACAATGGACTATAATTCAGCTATAAAAAGGAATGGAATGCTGACACATGCTACAACATAGATTAACCTTGACATAATGCTAAGTGAAAGAAGCCACTCATATATTGTGTGATCCCATTTATTTGAAATGTCCCAAACAGGCAAATCTGTAGACAGAATATAGATTGGTGGTTGTCTATGGCTGGGAAG